TATTTACTGATATCAGTGTCTGTTTCTATGGAATTGATGAGAGTACCAAACTCTCTCTATCCCATTATATAATAGCATATCCTAATTCTACATGTATAGATTTGAATGTTAAATTAATAATAATGTATAATCCTTAACTTATCCATACTTATAATGGTGATGTAGAGGAGGCCCCCACTAATAAAACAACACACATTATTGTTCCTGGCTTGGAGGGAAACAAGTTACCATGGAATAGACACAAGGCCACAGTAGTCTCATTGAAATGGTTGGAAGACAGTTTACATGAAGGACATTTTTTACAAACTGAGAAATACATTATTTAATATAAATCAGTATCTTTAAGTTGTGTGACTAAAATAATATTAATTTGAATGTAGTTGTTGCTTGCATGGATTGATTATGTCAGTGTACTGGTATAGTGCATGGCTGCTTGCACACATAATCTAAATGTATGTATGCTGTTCATGCATATAAATTTATTATTTATGGTGCATGTCTCATGTCAGTTACTGTTAATGGCAGTTATGATTAGTACAAATGTAGTTATTGTAAACATGTTTTCAATTTTCTTTACGTCAATAAGTTAATTACAAACTAAATGGTTCATAGGGTTTAATAAGCTTACATATAGCCCTATAAGGTAAACCTACATTGTCTTCTCAGTTTTGCTTTTCATATTTCAATTAATGGCTTCAAAACCATCACATTTCTCATTAGGTGAGTCAAATTATTAATAATACGCTGATATACATATTTTGTGTACAGATATTAGTAAGCTAAACTTTGTTTTACAAGTCTTGAGGCATTACAAGTTTCCTGAAGCAAGATGGTTTGAATTTGGATTGAATCTTGGTCTGCTTCATCCTACACTGGAAGCTATTGAGTCAGCTCATAGAGGGAATCCTTCACGCTGCCTGATGGAGTGTTTAACCAAGTGGTTGACTAAAGCTGATGATAATATCATCACTGTTGGTCCTATTATCTGGAAGACACTGGCTAATGCACTCCGTGGAATGAATGCAGCATCTGTTTCTACTGATATTCGCAAAACAAGTAATACTTTAAATTTATTATTGTTATACTTTGTTCATTATTTTATTTAGTGGCAGATCCTGTTAGTGAAATATTACAGTGTTATATTGGTAGAGTAACTCAAGTTGTTCTTACTGAGGAATCAGTTGATCTCTTACATACAGAGGGATTGATATCTAAGGATACATTAACAGAAGTGAAGAGTTGTGGTTGTTCATTGGTAGGAGATCCAATGTTACTAATATTAAGTGCTGTAGCTGAAGATCATAGCAAGTTATGTACTCTGACAAGCATTCTAATGAAATCAAAGGAAGCAGTGTCTTTAGCTAGTGATATAATAATGGAATATGGTAAATGAATAGTTTTATAAATACACTTAACTTATTTATATGTGACCATAATTGACAAAAGGGCCCTTACGGTGGATTTTAAAATTGATTGTTATAATGGAAAATATCAACCTGTGAGTGCTTTGTTAGACAATCATTGTTTCTAAAAGTTTCATGGTAACTTTTTGCATCCTGTGGAGTAATTTTATGATAAATGGGGCTCAGAAAGTTGGATTTCTTAGGCTAGAAAGACAAATTTCACTACCCGCCATAAGGTACCTTTTGTCAATTATGGTCACATATTCTAATACAATAGGAAAGTCATTTCCTTCAACAGCAATAGTGATGCCATCTCGTCAACAAGCAAGTACTTCAACATCTTCAAGTAATGACATGATATAACATATATACATTGACTATTATATAATAAATACAGAATCTGGACAATTACAAGATAGTAGTAGTGAGACTCAAGTAACTACCAATACTGATGCTACTCCACAAGGTTAGTAACACTAATTATACCCAATTCAATGTCATTACACTATATTATAGGTGTAGTAGAGGTCATAGTTCATCCTGGCTATGAAGCTGAGTTTGATAGAATGGGTGATATGCTTGGTACACTTATTGATGATATTGTTCCTCTCATTAAAGTGTCCATACCATCTGTGGATCACCTTAAAACCTACCTTGGAAGGTGTCGCCGAAACTTAAAACCTCGATTGAAAGATGCCAATAGCTTTGATGATGTAATGGAAGTGATTGAGGATGAGTGTTCTATCACTAACGTTGCTCTATTGGAGACTATAGTGAACAAATACTCAATACAAGATGCTGGAGACATGATATTAGCTTATCAGACACACTTGGATGAATTCTGTGAGAACAAATTAACAATGTTTTGTGATCGTCAGCTTAAGAGATTATCCTCTTCTCTCCTCACTTGTGAGACAATCAAGTTTGTTCTGAAATGGAATCCAAGTGAGCATTCTCTCTCCAGTATCAGAGCCCTCCTATGGAAAACGTTCAAGGATAATCAAGTGGAGGTGGTAGTGATCAAGGAAGGGAACTCCATCATTGTTACTTGTTATGCTCCTCATTATCTGATGGAGAGTTTACTAGTGACAGCTAGAAATAACGTTGATATGCTAAAGGAGATGGGATTGATTAGCTTAACTATTGGTTATTATACTGTGTATGATGAACATGCAATTGATGAGGTTAGTGAATGTATGTGTATATAAATTAATAGTATACTTTAATATTTGATAGGAGGTGAAGAGTCTAATGAAGAAACTGGAGATGGTAGAGAGTGAAAGAGATGATTTACTTGAGGAGAATGCTAAATTGAAGGGTACAATAGACACATTAAGTATATATTAATTATTATTAATTATAATTATTGATAATTTAAAGGTATCTCATATGAAGGTAGAGAAGTTGATGAAAGCAATAAGTCATCTATACAATTATCAGGTATAATGACATTTATGTTGTGATAAATATTGTCGTGAGCATGAATTTTTAAGAAATACATCATGTGGCTAACTTGTTGTTGCTTATAATTCAATTGGTTCATTTTTATTATTTAGAGTCTGAGAAGGAAGACAGTAAAAAAAAGATGACAAAAGCAATGCAAATGGAAATAGATCATTTACGATCATCTCTTCAAAGCAAAACAGGTATATGTACAAACATGCTTAATACTGTATTACAGCTGTGTTTAGAGTATCATTATCACTTGTACATTAATTTGTTATAGTAGGAGGATGATTGCTTATACTCAATACTAATACTGGTCTTTCTTACATGCAATAAATTTTTAAGCGTTTTTAAAATTAGGGACAAATTTGTAATATAATTATTAATGACTAGGAATAGAAGAAAAGTTAATTGGAGTAGAAAAAACATTAATTGAAAAAGAAAAGGAGATAGAACAGTTACAGGAAAAGATATCATTAATGAATACACAACAACTAAAAGAAACTTCAATAGCTCTTAGTATGTATTACATTATATTAACATAATTACTACTCAGTGGTATTTTAGGAAAAGATCAGTCAGCACAAACAATAGATCCATCAAAAAGACCAGTTTATGTAGCTATTGGAGACTGGGAGGCAAGAGAAAGCATTGAGCTTTCATTTAAGAAAGGAGAGAAACTTGAGATCAAGAAAGAGCGTACTAATGGATGGTGGCTAGTAAGATCGTTAGATACTGATCAAGAGGGACTTGTTCATATTAATCATATTGAAAAAGATAAAGAGAGTGAACTGTCGACATTGGAATCACTTGAACTGTTTCATTATGCGATGACAGAAAATGTTGATATACTTAAAATCAAGGAAATTAAAAGAAGCAGGAACATTGAGAAAGCTAGTGCCTTTTGGTCATTAATTAAACAAGATTCAGTTCTGCTAGATCAACTTAGGAAAAAAGAACATGGTAAGATATATTTATATGTACTAATAATCTATAGAGTATTTAATTGAGGTTATTAGATATTGTTCATGATCTGCAGTTTCACTACTATATTTTAGATATCAATCAAAATTAAGGTGCTCTGGAAAACAAAATTTTGTATTTTTGTCTATCAAATTTTGGGAAAATAAAATTTTTTGTACACCATAAAATCCATACAGAAGTGTTGCTTGCCTTAGTCATTAAAAATATCATAGTAGAGAATTGCACTTGATGATACAGTATAATCAATTATAATTTCTTTATGTATTCAGGAAAACCTAAAGCAATTAGGTGGTATGATGATGGTGTTCAACTGACCTCTCCATCTTTAATACAATGTCAAGAAGTAGTTTCTCTATTAACATACAAACATAGGAACATTATCATCAACAAATCATCTCCTGACGTTGTGTGGGATCTGTTGCCAGTTTTATTACAAAATGAAAAGGTGAAATACTTAAAAATACAAGACACTCAACTAACACAGGACTCCATCTCATCCTTATGTAACTTACTGGCTAATAATAAATCATTATTAAATTTAGTGCTTACTAACTGTTCCATTGATGACAAAGCAGTTGCTGATATTACAAACGTACTACAAATACACAATAACACTCTTTTAACATTATACTTCTTTGATAATCCTCGTATTACTTCAGTTAGTGCTCAGTCTCTTTCTGAACTAATTATCAACAATTCAACATTAACTGGATTACAAATAGGATGTACTTCAATATCATCTGATGGAATATTACTAATTCTTCGATCATTAACAATTAATAAAAATATAAAGCTCTTTCTAGATCTGAAACACAAAGACACATGCACAAAATACCATGACTATAATCTTATAAAAGATAGATTAATATTTTTTGATTAATTAATTAATAAAAAATTATTATTATATTTTGCTTTTTTATTGATGATGCTGATTCAACAATTATTTAATAAAATTAATTTAAACACAAAATAATCAACAAGTGATTTATGATAAACACGTACAAAAAAATACAAAATAATAAATTATCAAAGAAAAAATAAAATAGAAGAGAATAGTACAACAAACTTATTGGGCAAGCAGTACATCAGTTGTTATTAAAATAATAATAATAATAATAATAATAATAATAATAATAATAATAATAATTAACAGAACTATTATTATGATGGTCCTTTGTCCCCTCCCCCTCCTCCACAGCATCCTCCCTTAGCACGTGGTGTATCAGTTTGTCTTAAGAGAGAGGCACCAGCTGGTAAACTAGTTAAACAATCTGGTGGTAACTTAGAGCTATGAGACAAGAGAGAGATAGAGATTGTTACAATAGTACATACTACAGTACACCATTAGTAGCTACTCACTTATTTCAATGAACATTTCCTCAACATTCCTAGCAGTGAGGGCACTAATCTCTGCAAATATGGCATTAACTTCTGATGCATAAGTCTGACATTGTTCAGCTGGAATCTGAGAGGAGAGGAGAAGGGAGAGAAAGGATTTTTTAAATTTTCTGATACATATTGATGTCCTTATGCTGTGTAGCAAGTTTGAGTTGATTCGTAATATATTCTACTTTTCAGCCATCTTAAACTGTATTTAATCAATTTTCACAGATTTTATTAACGATAAATCCATAAAAATTTTGGGCCACAAAATTTCCTGCTATATGGTGATCATAATAGTTTACCTGCCAAAAGCTCCGTATGTGTTGATAATCATCAATGGTAAGCTAGTATTCATCTGTTGTCTACTGGAGAGAAGATTCTGTACAACAGGAATACTGAGATAAGCCGAGAGCAATCCCAAGCTAATAGATACAACCTTCCTAATGTAATAACCTTTTGGAGGACAATATTGATAATAGTAATGTACACAGCACATTGTATGTCATTTCAATGATGTGTATAGATCTACATGCACATTTACACCTAATTAGTGGTATGTTTGCTCAAAATTGTGTCTAAAAATTAGTACATGTACATGTATAAGTTTATGAACCTTACTATCACTACATTAATTTTTTTGCTTTTAGCCATTCAGCAATAGATTCAGGCCTGGAGTCAAGTAAGTACATTGCTTTTGTTAATGTTGGCATTTTCATCTTAATTACTGAAACATTCGTATGTGTTGTGATGGTAAGTAAAGACTGAACTTATTCAAAATTAATCTAGTGCATAGCTTACTTCACTGATAGACATAAAAATAATCTGCAATGGGAAGAACACATGGCTCTCAACATGGAAATGATAAAGCTCCTTAGAGACATTAAAAGGCAGTTGGAGGAGGAGCAGCTTCTACAGCAGCAGCACAAACAAAACCATTTTTACAATTTTATGTAGTGAGGCACCATAAAGTCCACTGTATTTTAACCTTCTTTGTCCTTTTTGCCATGTTATTGTTTTACTGTATGAGACTACAACTTGGACTGTCAGGGTCTGATCCCAAGTAGGCAAATCTTCCATTTTTAGTATATTGCCAGAACAGTAATTAATGATTGTGTGGATGGTTGGGAAGTAGTTGGTAGTGTGTAGATATCTAATTCCTTGATGCATGAGTCTTGTTCTTGCTAATGATACATTGAGAGAGAGAGAGAGGGGAATCTTTTATATTACATTTACATTTTGTATTTTTGAGTTATGGCTATTAAGAAATACTGTATAGCGGGAAATTTTGAAGGGGCTAAAATTTGACAAATTTCTAAATTTTGGTGATTGGAGAATTTAAATTTTGCAAAATTGTGGCCATGTGTCATTGAGCATGCATTTAATGGCTCAAAATGGTGGACTTTTATTTTGGCGAATGGCTATCAAAACGCCAAATCCGCCAAAGCTAATCCCCTCCAAAATTTCCCACTATATGGTATGCAAAGTACAATAGCCCATGATTTTTTTCAGAAAAAAATGGCTCCAAAATTACCCCCAAATATTTATTACATTTTCTGATACATACTGATGTCCTTATGCTTTGTAAAAAGTTTGAGGTGATTCGAACTCCATTTCTTGCAATTGGCTGATTTCTGAAAAATACCCTGTACTAAAGCTCATGTTTTTTTCCCAGAAAAGTGGCTCTGAAACAACCCCCAATTTTTATTATATTTTTCTCCATTTTTTGATACATAACTATCAAGGCACATGCATGTCATTGTCATTACCCATCTCTTCAGCACAATCCCTGTACTTTACTTGTTACACCCGTTTTATAGAATACTTACTTATGATTCTTGTTAGTTAGACTACTTACCAATCAATTCCTGAGAGAGAAGAGCCTGAAGGGTCTTTACCAGTGTCTATAATTAAAATTTAGATCCTTTCATCCAGCCCCACCCATTGTCTGCAATTCTATTCACCCGGTTAGCGCATTGTTCCTGGACAGTTGTCCGGAGTTAGGTGTAACTGTTCCTGGAAACTATCCTTAGGGATAGACACTATGAATAATAAGTAGTTTAGCTTAATTAATGATTAATGAATAAGGGGGAGGGATGTCAAGGAGCTATGGAGGCTCACTCAGGAGCTCGCTCAGGAGGCTGAAAGCCTGAAACATCAAGAAAGGCAGCTCAGTGGATCATGGTTTTTCAAATCACGAAGTGGATGGAGTACTGGTTAGTATCTAGTAGGCTTACATGTATATAATCATTATTCAGTAGTCAATTACTGAATATATATAATCCATTACTATTAGTCGAGCTATTAGTACTTATGGTTGCTGTACAAGTTGCAGCCAGTCATTAACTGTTCATTTGATATTGTTCCTTAGTCCTTGTCCATGCATATTATGTTTTTACAGTTGAAATAATAATAATAATAATAATAATTATTATTATTATTATTATTATTGCAGTAAAGCATTTTACTGTTACTATTACAATAAGCCATTGTTATTAATAAAAAATAATGTTGTAATTTAAGTGGTTTTAAGGTGTCTGTGCATTGGATTTTTTTGCCGGCATGAAGTTTTTTAGAAAAGCATCGGTCATTGGGCACAGGATGAAAAGCCTCTGAGTTGATTAGTTGTTTCCAGCTACACTTGTTGTTGTCACTTATAGCATATTGCTGTACATGTAATAGTAGTCTGTTTTGTATTATGAGAATTACATTATACAATTACTTCCTGATGTTCACAAAAACTCTTGCTTTTACTATTATGCTACTTTACTTAGTACCCTGTAATCATTACTATTGCCCCAGGGTGTTGTGTCTGTGCACCATATGGTTTGTGTCTGTGTGCATAAGATTTACAAGCAGCCATCAATCATGCAGTCTAAGCTAACTTGCAAATTTGCAATGTGGTATTATAATAATCCTTATAGCTGTTTATGCATCTTGTAATAGTATACTGAAAAATACGCAATCTTGACATGTACGTGTGTTGTTAATAAGTACTTAAGGGTGGAAATATTGAATGTTGCTTTACCAGCACAATATCTCATTTTGATATCACAATAATTACTAATAATTGTGTTCATCAAAGCTGTTACAATAACAATGATCCTTTGTAATGGTTCCTAGCCTAGAAAATCCAACACAGTACATGTAACTTAGTCTGGATTAGTAGTGGTACCTTTTACATCACACTTGTGCTAAGGGTTACGATATTTGATTACATGTACCACTCACATGTATAGTAAGAAAGGATTATATTCTGTTAGCTACAATATTATCATGATAGTTACTAAATACTGATATATTGCCCATCCTTATTGGTACTGCATTTCTCTATTCTCATTGTTGTGTTCCTTGACCCCTATTCTTGTATATCTTAATTTGTCTCGTATTGACATTTCTTCCTCTCTTTTGCCTTCTCTCCTCCTAGTATATGTACATGTACATCTAACTTTTGCTCTTTCTTTTTTCTTCCTATATAGGATTCTCCTATCTCTTACGTTCTTTGTCTTCTTGTGCATAATACAGTTCCTTACTGATACTATAAGCTTGTGTTAACACATGTACGTCAATGTCATGTTTTTTATGTTATTTATTATTATAGTACATTTTTGGATTACAGACGCATTGCGTGTCAAGAATCAAGATTCCATTTCCGGCAAAAGATGTGGGAGCAGAACTATCCTAACAACATGATGGTAAGACACAATTCACAATACAGTGCATGTTTTATTCAGTGCATGTACACATGTACAGTAAATGAGAGATAGTGAGTGTCCTTTGGTCAGTAATAATTGATGTATCATTTATTGTACAGGAGAATGGAATTAAGACAAAATGCTAAGAATATTCAAAGCATGTCCAATTTGAACAAGTACAATGTTTAAACATCAAAATTACTTAAAATTACCCTCTCTTTTATCTCTCTTTTAGTGCCATTAACTACTCATAATCAATAAACAATTTGTTCCATGGACATTAACTTATTAC